CGCATATACAAACATAGCGTCTGTTTCTGCCAAGTGGAGGGAATTTTGTCTATTTGTCGAAAGCAACTCACCCGACTGTATTGCGCTCACCGAAACTTGGCTCGCTGGAAACATACCCGACTCCATCATAAACTTAAGTGGCTATGAAATCTACAGACACGACCGACCAAATCGAAGAGGTGGAGGAGTTCTAGTGTACCTGAAAAAATCTGCCTTCGTGAAATTCACCATTCTGCAAACTCACCATGATATTCCTGAAATCGAAAATGTCTGGCTTAATTTATCATCCGAGCACTTCTCATTTACTCTTGGATGTGTGTACAGACCCCCATCATCCTCCCAGCATTCCGATTTGATACTCATTGATACAATTGATAGAATCAGCCATTCCTCAAACAACCTGGTCCTATTTGGAGATTTCAACTATCCATCACTTAAATGGCCACTGAATGAAATTCCTGAATCACGTGACACCAGCTCCATATTTGTTGAAATGTTGATCAATTGTAGTTTGTCCCAGCTTATCAATTCACCTACACGATACAGAGCCAACCAGAATCCATCCCTTATAGACCTGTTGATTACAAATGATTCTAATTTATTCCACAACTTTTCCTCCGAATCTCCCATTGGCTGCTCAGACCATATCGTTATTACTTGTGATTTACAAATCATAACAAATAAAAAATCTCGTAATACTACTATTAAGCAAAAACGAATTGATCACAAAAAGCTGACTACCATATTGAACTCACTAAGCTGGGAGCCACTTTTCGTTTGCCCAGATGTAGATACCAAGTGGGAGTTTTTCTCTCATTCACTTCTCAATGCGATGGAATGCTGTTCATTTGAAATCGATAAAAAAAGAAACAGCAAAAAACCTTGGATTAATGATGCATTCATCAACCGTTCCTATAGGAAAAGAAGACTCTGGTCGAGGTACAAAGTGACAAAAGACCATAACGATTTCGAAGCACACCGCTTATTTTCCGAGGACCTCTCTCGAGATTTGAGAAATGCTAAGCGGATATATGAATCCGACCTCGCAGGAAAAGGAACGAAAGCCATCTACAAATATACCAGAAGTAAACTTGCCTCAAAGATGTCTGTTCCTATAATACGTGATTTCAATGGAATTCTATGCGACTCTAACGAAGTTGCTGCTGAAGTACTTGCCAGAAACTTTGATAGATCATTCTCCCCATTGGACACCTCGGCCCTACCTGCGATTGCTTCGCCACGATGTCCAAACTCGCTGAGTCATATTATATTTACTGTGGAAACTGTAGAGGAGAAGCTCAAGAATATCAAGGAAGGGGTATCACCTGGGCCAGATAATATACCAGCCTTCATACTGAAGAGATATGCATCAATCATCGCAGTACCTCTTAGTCATATTTTCGAATCCTCCTTTCACTCTTCTTGCCTCCCTTCCGCCTGGCGACTTGCGTCTGTTACCCCCATTTATAAAAAAGGAGATAAACTTGACCCTGGTAACTACAGACCAATAAGTCTAGTATCCTTGTGTGCTAAAATCATGGAACGAATAATTGTAGATGTCCTACTACCTTTTCTGCTCGAGAACGACGTGATTCCACCCACCCAACATGGCTTCATACCAGGAAGATCTACAACAACTAACCTGCTCTATTGCTTGGATAAATGGACCAAATCAATGGACTCCGCATCACCCATCGATATTATATACCTTGACTTTTCCAAAGCGTTCGACAAGGTACCACGGAATAAGCTATTACATAAACTTGAACATTTTGGTGTCAGAGGAAAACTCCATAGCTGGATAGCTGCATTTCTCTCTGACAGGGTTTTCAGAGTGAGAGTGGGTACCAGTCACTCTAGTACTCATGATGTTACGTCTGGAGTACCCCAGGGATCGGTCTTGGGTCCAACATTATTTTTGGCATACGCATCAGATTTACATACCGCTCTAAGGTCCGACCATGCATTTTTCGCAGACGACAGCAAATTTTTTGGCAACCCACTATCCAGTTTCGATGAACTACAATCTGATCTGTTATCAGTACAAAGCTGGTGCGGCATGTGGGACATTCCTCTGAATATCGACAAGTGCTCTATTCTACATGTTGGCCCCACTAACCCAGAACTAGACTACTACCTAGGTAATAAAATCATTCCTGCAGTGGAGAACCATAACGACCTAGGAGTCATTTTCAACAAGAAACTAACTGTGTCCAATCAAGTAGCAGCAGCTGTCCGTAAGGCAAACAGTCGCACATACCTCCTTAACAAATGCTTTGACCAACCTGAACCAAGCCTCTTCAATAAGCTTTATAAAGCATATGTTCGCCCACACCTTGAATATGCGGTGCAGGTATGGAATCCTCATCTGGTGAAAGACATTCAACTTTTGGAAAGAGCCCAACGCAATGCAACACGAATGGTTAGAAGTTTCAGGGATCTTTCCTATGAACAACGGCTATCTCGGCTAAGGCTTCCTTTGCTGAGTGATAGACGAGCTAGAGGAGACGCTATTCTGACGTATAGAATTCTGCACGATGACTTCTCTGTTGACCTATCCAACTTATTCCATCTACAGAATGATGATAGATTGAGAGGCCATTCTATGAAGTTGAAGCAAGAACATTTTCGAACCACACTCAGACAAAAATTTTTGTCAAATCGAGTATTTTCAAAGTGGAATGCATTACCTCGTGATGTTGTGTCAGCTCCCAGTGTGAATAGTTTCAAAAACCGCTACGACTTGGTGCAATTGCAATTGCAATTTCAACAATTATAGTGATTACTAAATTAGGTATCAATAGTGTATCATTAGAAATGTATTGGACTTGACACATTAATAGTTGTAACTAATTTTTAAGCTTAAGTATCTATTGGGCAAAATAGGCCATGCCTCTGCCCTTGTTATAATATAATAATAATAATAATAAATAATAATAACTTGTAAATTCGCCGCCACGGAAGGAAACAAACGCATGTCGTTCCGACTACTGCGATTTTGTCGCGCGGTCTTTCCCTTAACGCCACCTGGTGGTTCGGAAACCATGGACACATGTCGAGAGATCGTTGTTATTGTACTTCCATTGAATTATATTTCCCACATTTGCATTGCAAATCGCCAGGTCCCTATGATTTATTTCGACTGGGTAATTATTTTTATCGGTACGTTCCATCGGAAATATCGAATGAGAATAATTAATTCTTCATCCACATTCATTTTATATTCATTAATTCAATAAGTTTGTTTATTAGAGGGTATTTTTGCAGCTGGTGCCAAATTATGTACACCTCCTATCATGCTACTCTAACAAAATGTTTCCAAACCTCAGCATTTTCGCTGCCACACATACATATTTTTCTGCCGGAGTAATATCTCAACTTCAACATATCTGAAACTCTTATTAACCGTTACTTCCGTTGTTTCTCCAGGGTCGATTCCTTCCCGATTTTTGTTCAGCAGCTCTTTATCAATTGAATAATCACATCGTTTTTTTACTCACATAACCAGAATGGCATTTTTCTACTCACATAACTGAGATGGCATTTAGCGTACGGATATGTATCACGCTAAATGATCGATTAATCACGGATTGTCGATCTGTGATTCATTCAAAATATTAAACACGTTACCATGGCAACACGATATCTTAAACACATTACCATGGCAACGCAGTCCATTAAACACAGATTCAGTAATTTGAGACATGTCTGGCCTGTCAATTGTATTAACTGTCAACTGTTATTTTCGAAATTTCGAATTTCGTATCGGAATTATTCAAACAATATTCGTTCGTATCAGAATTCCTCATTAAAAATATATGCGAAAAGTAGACGAAAGTGAAATCGAAGAAAATGTTCTGGTACTTGCATATCTCCAAGAAGTAGAAAAATGAAGCATCCATCTTTGAGAACAATTTATTTATTCTGCGCTAAACATGACAATAAACGTGAAACAACTATATCACTTATACGTGTCTCGCTGGTTGCATGCAGTTGCATGTATTATGTTCTCAATTCCCATTCCTTTCGAATTATTTTGTAGGTTAGCAGGAATAGCAGGTATGTTGATGTAATATTCGGAGTTCGTAGAAAAAGCATAGTATGTAACGCGTTTATAAACTCTTCTAAACACTCGTTTATTAAACACTCGCTCCGCTCTGCTCCGCTCGTGTTTAAAATACTCGTTACTAAAAGGCCGTTTATAACACTTGTTATACATAATATACTATTATATAGCGTACGGATATGTACCACGCAATAAATGATCGATTAATCTCGGACTGATGATCTGAAAAATTCACCAGCTTGTCAGTGACAATTTGTATTGAAAAATTTTTGGAGAAGAGAAATAAAGGTATATAGAAAATTATCAAATTTTCACTTATCTTTGGACGTTTCGGGACCGATTCTGCTCTCGTTTTCAACATGAAAAGAGATTTTTTTCAATTGCGAAGTTGTATAATATGTCTTGAAGCTTATCAGTTTTTAATGACAATTGGTGACGTTGGCAATCAAATGAGTTACAGTATGTTTTCATTAATTAATCTTGAATTCACCATTTACATGTTCAGATTTTAGTAGTGAATACCATGTTCTGTCTATATCAACTGAACAAGAAGCAATGCTATTGTCTCCGTTCAGAAGAGAAAAACAAGGAATCTGCTTGCATTCTGAATGTTTTCAAAAAAATTTGAAATTCTGAAGTGATGTTTCCTTCTCTGTATGAAGAAGGGGGCGATGAAATATATTGCGCTTCAGTCTGCTTCTTAATCCGCCACTGTTTGTATCTTGATATTGAATCATCTTAGAACATTCGTTCTCAAGATAACTTGAACAATCATCTCAGCAAAATTGGTTTCGAATTATCAAATCACCCTGTATAACTTACAATGGATAAATTATAAATTGAAGTAGTTTCAATAGCTGTCTACCTGCAACTTCAACTCCAATTCTGACGTATCTGAAACCCTCATTAACCGTTAATTTTGTTGTTGTTCCAGGTTCTGGTCAAATTCAGCTGTGGCAATTCCTTCTGGAACTCCTGAGCGACTCTTCTAACGCAGCCTGTATCACGTGGGAAGGCACCAACGGCGAATTCAAACTAACGGATCCAGACGAAGTTGCGAGGCGGTGGGGCGAAAGGAAGTCCAAGCCGAACATGAATTACGACAAGTTGTCTAGGGCGCTCAGGTGAGATTTCGACTATACTACACCTTTTTTCGCCTACCATATTTGATAATGAATTAACACAGATTTATCCCAGAGATATAAGAAGGCATCACATTCCTGTCACACAGCACATCCGTGACTCGAAATGAGAGTCCCACTAAAATCACAATGACTGCTATTCCGAACTCTTTTGGGCATTTTATGACTCACATTCAAAATCAAAATTGATTAATTCCATTTGTTACATAAATAGACAAGATTAATATATAAGGTTCCAGTGAGTCTCTTGGTTGTTAGGGAGCCTCTTCTTCTTCTTCTTCTTCTTCTTCTTCTTCTTCTTCTTCTTCTTCTTTTTCTTCTTCTTCTTCGAAGCACTGGTGGGCGGGTGGACCCCCTGCACGTAGGCCTCCTTATTCGGGCCCATTGTCCGCCCACATGTTACGACATTCAGCTGGGTATGCCGACTGCCTTGGAGAAGTTCAGCAGCTTCCTCAGCTGAATCTCATTTACGTCCTCTGGCCTCAAAATTATGTTGCCAAGGACAGCCCTCCTCTGATGCGTCAGTGCTGGACACTCAGTGAGGACATGTGATGACGTTTCGTCATCTTCCAGGCACCATCTGCGAAGGGGGTCTTCCTCGATCCCAATAAGCTCTAGGTGCCTATTGAGGTGGTTGTGCCCCGTTAGGAGCCCCACTACCATTTTGAGGTTTCGCCTGTTTAGGAATAAAACCTCTTTTGCGAGCCTCTTCGAAGGTTCCTTTATGTGGAGCTTCGATTGTCTCATTCCTGGTGTGTCCTGCCATATTTTGAGGAATTGCTTTTGCAGCTGTTCCTCTATAGAGGACATCGCCAGGCTATTTGGTATTCCCAAGATTGGTTCCGGTCCGACCGAGGTCCGTCCTGAACCGATCTTTGCCAGTCTGTCTGCCTCCTCGTTTCCGGGTATTCCCGAATGTCCCTGGACCCACATGAGGCTGACTTTTCTTAATTTTGACAGGTTTTCCAAGGCTTTTCTGCACTCGGATACCAAATTAAATGTGATCCTATGGGATTGCAAAGCCAGTATTGCAGCTTTGCTGTCCGAGCATATAGTGATTGGTCTACGACCCTTCATAATTAGGTTTTCTTGGATACAGGTGAGTATTGCAAGTACTTCTGCCTGGAACACTGAGGCATATTCGCCCAAAGGAACTGAAATTTCTTTCCCTGTTCCTTCATTGTATACCCCTGCACCTGAACTGCCCCCAAATTTTGAGCTATTCGTGTACCAGATTGACTCATTCGGAGGAGGCACGCCAGGTGTTATTGTGTCATTCCATTCTTATCCCTCGTCGGGATGACAGTGTTTGGGGCTTTGTTGAAGTTCAGAATTGGCAAGGTACTATCCCTTTTCATCATGAGGATGGGACAGTTTTCCTTTGCCTTATTCCATATGAGGGGGTGTCCATGATCTGCTTCTGTTCCGACCCACTGGTTTGCACCGTTGAGTCGGTAAGCAGTTCTCATGGCTTCGTGTTGTATGAACAGGTGTAGAGGCGGCAGACCTAACAGAACTGCAAGAGCCCTGGTAGGCGTCGTTCTCAGAGCACCTGTTATTCCCAGGCAGGCCAGTCGCAGGACTTTATCCAGTTCTCTGTTGGTTAGGGAGCCTCACAAATTCATTTACATTTCAAGTTTCTAATCCAATAAAATGTGACGAATATTGCGAATGTTTTGTGAAACAAACAGTCCCATGGCGATACCAATGATGTTTTCTTGTAATTAGCAATGATACCTAGCGAGACATGAATGTGACATCCCAGGGATATTTGTGTCTATTGGGTTGCGGATCTAAACTCATAAATACACGATTTTGTAGTTTTACACTACCTAGACACTTTTGACTGTCACTTGCGTTATGCGTATTTTGACGTTTCACATAAATGTTCTTTAAACGTCGGTTTCTCATCAGTGCAGGGCAATCTCCAGCCAACGGTCCTACGTCCGCCGACTGAGCGTAGCCTAGCCGAACAAATATCAATTCGGCATTATATTCCCCCAGATACGTCTTTTATAAGCAATATGAAAATACCTATTTCAAATACGAAATGGCCACAATACTCAAAGTGGAATGAAATGTTGGATAAATACAGAAAGATCAAAGTCATATCCACACAATGTTCATAAAATGAACGACAATGGTAGATTTCGGGACGAAAACAACTATTTTCCTGGCTAATGCCACGCAGAACATTGAATTACATCCTACCGAAATCTATGCATCGACTGGTATAAACGAATACTAATACAAGTTAATCTTTCCTGAATGCCTATTGATTTCGATTTAGCCAGGCCACGCTATACACCTACAGACCGGTTTCGAGCTCTTTGACTCTCGTCAAGGCAGGGCAGTCTCCAGCCAGCAGTCCTAAAAGCAACGCCATCTAAGTAGAAACGAAGGAAAGAAACACTCCAAAACTATGACTATTTGACTTTGAGCTTCTTGTATTTATGTAACATTTCATTCCACTTTGAGAATTGTGGCTATTTCGTAGTTGAAATTGCACCAGTCGGGCAACCAGCCACTCCCGTATGGGAGTGTTTCTTTCTTCCTTTCTACTCAGATGGCATTGCTTTTAGGACTGCTGGCTGGAGACTGCCCTGCCTTGACAAGAGTCAAAGAGCTCGAAACCGGTCTGTAGTGCGTGGCCTGGCTGAATCGAAATCAATAGGCATTCAGGAAAGATTAACTTGTATTAGTATTTCGGTAGGATGTAATTCAATGTTCTGCGTGGCATTAGCCAGGAAAATAGCTGTTTTTGTCCCGAAATCTACGATTGTCGTTCATTTTATGAACATTGTGTGGATATGACTTTGATCTTTTTGTATTTATCCAACATTTCATTCCACTTTGAGCATTGTGGCTATTTCGTATTTGAAATAGGTATTTGTTTCGAAATTGTATTTCCATCAACAAAAATGCCCATATAAAACGCCCAATCAACCCCCCAGGGACAAACGATCCGTCAAAATTCCGATAATAATTTCTCGTTATCGAAACAATCACGTACCAGAAATGGCAAAAAAATCGTTCGGTAAACGCATTAGCCGTTATAGGTCGCTAATTGCTACAAATGAACACAGCAATGCGATTACACGACCCTCGTAGACAACGGCCAGGCCACACTAACGACCCCTAGCGGTACAATTCGGTTTCAATCGATGGGCTTCGCAAAAAAGCCAGCGAAATGTTTGGGCCGCTGTAATATGACGAATGGCGTTCGATCCCCGATTCTTTTTTTTATTTCAGCCAAATGTCGAAGATTGCAATAGTAATTCATGGGACGATTGGATTCAGTAAAAATCTATAAATGAATGAATGTACACGGTGGCTTAGAAAATATGGTCAATGATTGATCGTCGATATCCCGGATGTGCATTACATATAGCACGAACTATTCCATGGATATACATGGACAAATATATCCAATTTTTTCGACTTCATGGAAAGGAGATACCTCAAAAGTGTCAAGATTACCTACTGTTGATAGCTTTGTTATTATTGAAGATAAAACACAGTTCACAATTACCAAACTAACAATATTTAGGTATTTCTGACTAGAAGAAAATTATTTCTCATCAGTTATACGAAGAAACGTGATGTTTATTTTTATTCTTCTATCATAAAGAGCGTTGTCACAGCCAAGTTATTCTTTTTGAATAAAAAGCAATTCAACAGCGAATTGAGAGATGAATGCCACTTTGTGATACATGGTTCAATAGAGAATTTCAAGGCGAAAAAGATAGACTGAAGAAATGTACAGGGTGACATTGAAAAAAAAAATAATTGGGGTCACTTCCGGTCAAACAGGTGGTTGAAAAAAATTGTCGTTAAGTTCGTAAAGTGCGCGCTACCATTTATTTTATACCCCCTGTGAATTTCAAAATTTTATCTCTTCAAATAAAAAAACTACAGGCTGCTACATGTCTCCTGTGTCACCCGGTATACCTACCTACCTGTTTTAAATACATATAGTCACATATTAGATGATTTTATGTTCCTATATTAAAAAATGCTTGTTTTCATATCGTTTTTGGGTTGAAAGACACCTCTAATAAAATAATCGTCTTGAGAACATTCAGAAAAAGGATGCAATGAACGTCCCCGAGACATCCCGAAAACGTACATAACAATCTCTATATACAAGGACTTATAATGGACGTCCCCAGGACGGACCGTTTTGTAACATCGAACGTTCTCAGGACGTCGACCGACCGACAATGGACGTCTTTGGGACGTCATAATTGTCTCAGGTCGACGACCTGCGAATAACGTTCTTAGAACGTCCATCTGTTATCTACTGCGCAAGTGTCTCAATCTATTAGTCCAAGAGCCGGGTCGGTTTATATACCTCAAACCCCCCGACGATTCTCAAGTTTTCTACAGAGTTGGTCATGAAAACATATCCACAAAACGCCAACTGTGCCGAAGCAAATCTTGCCAAAAGTATTAATTATTAATCAATAACCAGGTGCGTTTTTTTCAATATCTCTCCTTTTCTCCCGGACACAAAAAAAATCACTAGATGTGCATTTCAATGAGTACAACCAGGAAAACTCACTGTGCTGAGTCCGATCGTGCCGAAACCCATGGCACAGTGGCACTACAGGGGGTAGCAAAACGTGTTTTTTAGAATTGTATGAAAATAAATTGAAAATATATATTTGTTGAAAGGCGTATATGCGATATGGATATGAAGAAACTCTATAATCACAATCACGGAGAACACCATACTAGGTAAATTTCCATATTCACCATTACCAACTACGCAACCTATTGACTACGGAATTCTGGTTTTGTTAGTTGTTATTTAGTTAGACGAATCACGAAATTACCCCTGCTGAGTAGAATATGGTTTTTTTATCTTCGTTAAAATTAAAGTATCTACCGCAGCCGCTTTTGTACGATAGCGTCCAAGGCACAGCTGACGCTTGATTAGTGAATGTTATGATTTTTACAACAACAGTCCCAACCTCCGAACAACAAACTCCCTGTATGATCGAAAGTCCCAATCTAATCCTTTTGGTGCGGTGCCGACTGCCGGCGGTCGCTAATTGCGCGTTTGCTTCAAAAGGCGACGAGTTAAGAGGCGGCATGTATAAGGCAATATTAAGAAGCAATATACAGGGTGAGTCAATAATAGTGTGTTCTCCTTTTATATTAGCCAAACCGTCAGATATATAGGGTGTTCGAATTCCAAGATATCGGTTGATGATGGGTGTTTTCAAATGAGACACCCTGTATATTAATACATTTTTAGATTCTCCCTTGAGGGCTGATTTCATCAATGTATCGCACTTGGGGATCAGCTGAAATGTTTATAGCATTATAGGGTGTTCAAAATCTATATTTTTCAACTTTGTGATTTTTTTGTGTTTATTATTGATCGAAACGGCTCACATGTCCCTATCTCAACTCTTGACACTTAATTGGAACAAATACAGGGTGGTTCAAAATTCAAGATGTCTGATCACCCTGTATCTATTCCAATTAAATTTCAGTAGATAGTGAGTCGAACGTTGAGATGAGGACATGTAAGCCGTTTCTACCAATGATGAATAGTTCTGACACAAAAAAATCCCAAATTTGAAGATGTTCGATTCTGAACACCCTATATATCTCTGTAATCATTTCCGCTAGACCCCAAGTGTGATACATTGATGGAATCAGCTCTTCAGGAAAAATTTGAATATGCAATAATATACAGGGTGTCCCATTTAAAAACACCCATCATCAGCCGATATCTTGGAATTCGAACATCCTATAGATATAAAAATAGTTTTAGGTTGTTTATTCGATTTTTTTTTATATACCTGACGGTTTGGCTAATATCGAACGAGAACACACTATTGACTCACCCTGTATAATATACTTGTCGCATCGTAGGCGACGAGTATATTGCTGCTTGCATTTTTTCTCTTTCCCTACCACCTATTAAAATCTACCGGGGTGAAAAAGTATATAGTTAACGCGTTTTTGCTGCCCCCTGTAGCGCCACTGTGCCATGGGTTTCGGCAGGATCGGATGCGACACAGTGAGTTTTCCTGGTTGTACTCATTGAAATGCACATCTAGTGATTTTTTTATGTGTCCGCGAGAAGAAGGTATATATTGAAAAAAAAACGCACTTGCTTATTATTAATCATTAATAAATACTTTCGGCAAGATTTGCTCCGGCACAGTTGGCGTTCTATGGATATGTTTTCATGACCAACCCTGTAGAAAACTTAAGAATCGGCCGGGGGTTCAAGGTATATAATCCGACCCGGCTCTCCGTCTATCGTTGCTTGCTTGTTGGTCGTAAAAGTTCTTCGCGCATCCCAACGTATTGTCCTCCTATTTGTTGTTCATAGATCAGTGGACACCTCTGTTTTTGTTCCAGATACTATTATGACAAAAACATAATGACCAAAGTGCACGGCAAAAGGTACGCGTACAAATTCGACTTCCAAGGCCTGGCGGCAGCTACCCAACCGGCCACCAGCGATCCGAGCAGCTACAAGTACCAAAGCGAGCTGTTCATGAGCTCGTACCACCACAGCGCGAAGCTTGGGGGCTTCATGAGTCCACATGCAACGATACCCAGCTCCGCAGGTCAGTATCCATATCAATCAATCAATCAATCCTTCATTGTTCATCAAAACTTTACAGTTTTATAACAATGTGAGTTCAGGCAGAGAAAAATGTATAATTAATTATGATTATTTTCAAAATCAGGAAAGATAGCTCTTTCTAAATATGCGATAATATTTGAAAAATTTTTTTTTTCACCTACCCTGTATATGAAATGATAAAATCAAGCAGAGAACACATTTTCCAGAAGGAAATGACATCTCATTCAAGTAACTTTTTCCAAATTTCAAACATCTTTTTTCGTTTTCGAGATATCAGCTGTTGAAGTCGAGAAATCCATTACTTGACGTGAAAATGAAAATTGAATCTAATGTCCATTTGATGACAATTGACAGTATGAATGAATGCAACTCTCTATGGCTGCTTAAATTGTAGTTTTTTTTATCGTTCAATTTATATCTGATCCAAAAAACAGCCAATGGTCAGGGTTGCCGACTTATTTCATGAAGTAGGACCCTTATCTTATGCATCCCAATTGAATATTCCTGGATCCCAGTGGATGATCATTATCGACTAGTGATACGATTATCAAATCTATAATACTGTAATAATTTTCAGTTTTTAAGTATTCCACGTTCATCAGTAGCACTCTCTTTCTTTTTTTTTCTCCTGCTCTTACTACATTTCTCTGGTTAACACATTCGCTGTGCCCGAGCAGCACGGTAATAACACTTGCATCCCCTTAATGACGTAATGCCTTGATTGTGCATTGTTTCTCCCCTTTGGAGAGCAAGCATTACCCGTCATTTAATCGGCCCCTCCCAAATAAGGATATTGTTAACAAACTGCCCCGATGCCTACGCTCAGTGGCGCACAAAAAATGTCGATGTGTTGAATAATCTCGGAGGTTTTCTAGTTGGAGAAGGTACAAGACCCTTTCTCAACTCCACGTTGCTCCAATTATGGTTAACGAAAAGTATATCATCACTGTTCTCTCCCATTCAAAAACTGAAATTGTAAAGGGTTCAGGACATTTTGCCGAATGGACAAGTCATCAAACTCTCGGTCGAAACGCCCGAAGTGGTCTTTATATGCCTAAATACGCCAGTGAACAATTTGCAGATATGTGGTCACGACGGCGATACAGCTATTTGGACACTGTTACCATAGATCAAAAGGGGTGAATCCCTTACCCGTTAAGTCTCAGGGGAGAAAAAAATGGACTGAAGGCAAAATTGAGCGTGGTCTTCAAGATCATACCTTATGGTTATTCCGTGGAATGATGCTGAGGTGACGAGCCGGGCCGGCACTATGGAGTGGACGTATGGGACTAATGTTCTTCCCTCAGGAACTATATGGTACCACTCGCGTCAGGAGAGATAACTAATACTTAATTATACCCTAAATGTTCCATTAACGTCTGGAGGACGGGAATTTGATTATTTTTGAGGAAAATTCAATTCCAAAGAAGGGAAAATTTCAATTGGAAAGATCCAAGGCGATCGAATTGAGTGTCGTATTCGATGTACGAAAAAGTTCTAATTCTTTGATCCTCGGTAGCCACTGAGTTGGAGGCGCTGCATGTAAAACCTTGAAGACCTGATGCGCGAATTTAATTTTGAGATATACAGTGAGCCAAACAAATGGACATAACAAAGGAGATGAACGGAACAGACACTTCGCTGAAAATTGTCATTATACGGAAACAGCTGCTGGGAGATTCCAGAGAATGTGGTGAAATAGCCGAAATAACTCTTTGCATTTCTTACATTCCTTGCTTTGTACTTGAGAAATAAAAACAAAACAAAACTAAATATTTGGTTGTATTGGATGTATTAATACAGTATGTACAAGACAATACAAATAAAAATACACATTAAAAACCCTTCAATAAGTAATCCATCGACAGTCTCTGTAAATAGAGTCCATAGTGTTCCCTTGCCTGCCTCGGGCTCAAAATTTAGTTTCTATCCGTTGATCTCGCTCTTGCGTAGTCCATCTACTGTTTCGTTTCGTTTAGCTCTTGAGAGTGTGTATGTGTGACCAAGCACCTAAATGAATGTAACATAGGCGAACAACAATATCAATCAAAAACGACCATCTCTATTACCAGTGCTAGACATACATTCTCCAATCAGACTCTCTCTCTTCCTGGAAAATCAGAAAAAGTCAGCGCTTCAGTGACTGCAAGGTCATAAAGAGAGGGAGAAAGTTCTGAATACGATTCTGATTGACTTTGGATGAGAGCAAAGCCCCTGCACGGAATATCCGAAACCTAAATATACAAAACTGGATGCCAAGTGCAGTTATTGAATGGTTAAAACACCGTCAAAAACATTATGAATTTGATACATCCAGAATCCAGATAAGTCAAGTGATGGTATGAATATCTAGGCCTTGTCCCAAAAGAACACACCTACTCAGACTCCTTATTTGCAGCCTCTACAATGAACAATAGGAAATAGCCTTTCATAATAGACTGAAGTGCAAGGAGACAATATTCTTCTGAGAAACCTGTGCTGAGATAACAGCTGAACCACAGTCTTCCAATTTTTTTTTCATCGCTTGGAGCGCACGAAAGGGAACCCCTATAATGTTCAAAGAAGATCGTGCGTTCCTAGGGAGAATAGGGACAGGAGGTAGGGATTGGAATTTTTTTTGAACTTTTGGAGATTATATCGTGTTGGGAATACTTCCTCAGGAATGAATTTCCAGAGCCTATAGCCGGGCTTGGTGGGGATGGTGGTGCCAGACATTACAATATCGGGCATACTGGGTTCCGCCTTTCTAGAGAAAATACAGGTCTGAGTTTTGGTGGCGTTGAATTCAACTAGGTTGTTGGTTCCCCAGGCTGTGATTTCAGCAAGGTCTTCATTGACAGCATTGACCTGTCTGCGCCGTGAGTTCTTAGTTTTCTGGGAAGAAATGGTAATTCTGGAAGAGAACGCAGTATGGAGGGTACTATCATCTGCAAAGCTGTGGATGGGGCAAGTTGTTACTACCGACAGATCATTGATATGAAGAAGGAATAATGTTGGTGCCAAAATTGATCCTTGTGGAACGCCGGAATTGATGCCAATGGTATCAGACCATACACCGTCCACCACCACGTGAAGCGATCTGCCTGAAAGAAAACTCGATATATAAGAGATGGCATAGCTGTGGTGGTAAGCCGTATGATGGTAGTTTCATAGTTTGTGGAGGAGTCCTACGTGCCAAACACGGTCGAATGCTTTCGATATGTCCAACGCGTCAGCTGGAGATTCCCCCTGTTTTTCTAATGAAGCTTGCCATAAATGGGTGACGTAGGCAAGTAGATCTCCATTAGATCTCCAGTGGCGAAAGCCGAATTGTCTATCATTAATGATTCCTGAGCTCGCCAGATATTTGATAAGCTCAATATTGATGGCTTTCACCATCACTTTGTGGATTAATGATAACAGGGCAATGGGCCTGTAGTTGTTGGGCAGGTTCTTGTTTCCTTCTCTGGGGATTGGTTGAACTCTAGTTGTCTTCCAGCATGATGGAAAAATACCCGACCTGTACGAGACGGTAAACAACTTGCAAAGAATCGGTGTTGATTCTGGTGCACATTTTTTGAGGATAATAGGTGGAATTCCATCAGGACCGTTAGCCTTATTCGTTTTGAGACCAAGCAAAATTCGTCTGATAGTGCGTTGACGGAAGACCATTTCGGGCATTCGACTCTCAACGGGTGGAATGTCTGGCGACACTTTTCCTTGGTAATCTGAAGTAGAGTTTGCTGCGAAAATCTCTGCAAAAATATTTGCTTTCTCTTGCGGTGTTGTTGCTAATGTGCCGTCGGATTTGGACAGTGGTGGAAATGAACTATTAGTGTAATTTCTTCCGACCGCTTTAGCAAGGGACCAAAACGAACGGGAGCTATTGGGACAATCTATGAGTTTAGATCTTATCTTGGCATTGTAAGTTTCTTTCGAAGCATCTATTGTTTGGCTGCAGTTATTCCTGGCATCAACGTATTCAGCTCTAGTCGTGAGGTTAGGGTTTTTGCGCCAGCGATGGTAGGCTGTTTCTTTCAAGGCAACAGTTCTAGAACAGTTTTTGTTGAACCAGGGTTTCGATGGTGATGATCTTTTCGAAGAAGATTCATGTAGTAAGTGACATGACTCAATGAGCCTAATGGCTGTAGTATCCAATAACTGTAATCCTGAGACAATATGGCAGTATACTACAGTGCTATAGTGAAACACAATGTATAAACTGTACCTACGTAGGAAATTATTCAGTACTTTATCACCAAATCGTATATACTACGCCTCTGTATTCATACGCCGCCACCCAAATGTCACTTCATTGTGCTGCTGCTGACGTTCTTTAATGGATATTTTGTACACTGTCGGTCATTAGTTGTGTCCCACTTTGTCCCTTTGGGAGTGTTTATTAGCTTTGGTCGGGATTTATTGCCTAGTTTGTTGCCGATTCGGTCAGTTCATTGATTTTGATTAGCACAACTCTATGAGAATATCGGTTTTCGGCGAATCAAAGACAATCATTACTTTCCCAGCTGTACAGTACGATATCAATAAAAATCTACAGAGTGATATTGTTTAAGTTAGTTTCGAATAATTATATAGAATTGATACCGATCGAAAATGAAGGTATTTTCTGAAGTACAGAAAGTGGAAGGTCTAGTACGAGTGAACAAAATGTTTCCTACGAATACATAGCAAATGTCTTGCGATAGTACAGTGTACTTATCGGGGGTAACCACTTCATGAAATCCTGGGACAGGCATGATGAAATCAGTATGTAATCATCATGTAATCAGCATGTAATCATCATGAACCATGAGAAACATTAACTTGACCGTTTAGTATTTTCCACGGTTGGGTGAACATATACCTAGTATATAAGCAGCACCTCTCCTGAAGATGCTAACATAGCAAAACACGTGTCGAGGCGTTTAAAAAATCGGTTTGGTTAGTTGTAAAACAGTGTAGTTTATTATCGTGCCAAAGGTTCCAGTCTTCGATATAGCT